TAGCTTTTAGAGTCTTCGGTCCTGTTTGGCTTCCCCACTTCCAGTTCCCTGTGTTCTTGTCACATGGGGTTCCAATCTAACTAACCGCGGTCGGACCCCGAGCCTTCTTGGGTTCAGCCATAAAGAATGTGTCACCGCGAAACTCCAGTAAAGGAGTTTAATGGATTAGAAATCAGAACTTATCAATATATATCGTCCTACACTCCTTATGTTGAGAAAAACTTCCAAGATCAGTAGATCACATTCTGTTAAAAGTGTGAATACCTTGTCGCAAATTGTAATAACAAAGTAATTGAAACCTTCTTGATAAAATGTTTCAGACAATAAAAATGCATTGATGTGTTATATATGAGATGCTTATTCCAGCTAGAATCATATCTTATGTCAATGTGTATGTTTTTTTTTATTATTGAAATTATGAATATGAATGTTGTTTATTTTTTCTAAACTCAAGTTTTGAGTTTAACATTAAAAATCTTGGTATAACAAGAAATCTTTTGGAGATGAAGATCTCATAAAACTTCAGGTATGAAAAGTTATGATGGAATTCAAGTCAAATATGCAAAACAACTACTTGCAAGGTTTAACATGAAGAAATGCTATGCTATAAATAAGCTCTTTGTCCAATGCATGAGGTGAAATCAGGTTTCATGACTAAGACACATTAGTACAAGATAGTGACTAGATATCATATTTTGATGATAATTTCCACAGATCTTACATTGTTTTTTAGATGATAAAGAGTAGGAAATACATGTCAAATTCAGAGAAAAATATATATGTATGATACAAAGCGAATTTTCAAATATTTGAAAGCTATGTTAGATTTTGATGTTGTGTTTGATGCAAAATGAGACAACGCCAAATTATTGAATGATTATGTAGATGCTGAGTATGAACAACATTTGAATGAGGAAAAAAAATTATGACTAAATATGTAGTATTTTGAACATCTACATGACAAAATGCGCAATTGAGTTTTAAATGGATTTGAAAGAAAATGAAATAAATTCGTGACTATGAATTTTCACTATAAAAATCAAAGGGATTTAACTTTCATAAGATGATGTATCAAAGAGAAAAAAATTGAGCTCAAATTATCTTAGACATGATATTTTTCAAAAAATGATCAAACTAGTAAAGATTCAAAGCCATCATGCCATTTATTCGAATATTAGGAATTACATTATAATAAAATTTTCATTCTATTTCTAATTGATCTTTAATTAAATTTTTTATTTTTTTTTGTGTTGTGTATTTTTTCTCTCAAAAAGAGCATTATAATATTATTGTATAAAGAAGGAAACTTAAAAATAAATCAGATAAGCATCAGTTGGCAAGGCTTGAGGGCTATGTACTCCTATATATAGACTCTAGACTTGCCAATAAGGAAACCCTTTAAAGATACAAATATTTACTCCGAAGGTGATGAGTGCGGAGAAGATTGTTGTGTCAAGAGAAGGCGCAGATGGCTATTCTTGCAAGATGATGTTACACGAATGGAGACCTTAAAGACCTACGCAGTAATATAGGCGAGCGTTTCTTCTTTACATTGTTCCGGCGAGGCGTGCTCGGTGCGCTTTTCATGACTTTTGATCCTTGGACATGGACCTTACATAACTTTCGGAACCTGGGTATGTCACTTTCTTTTGTGGATTCACTGATTGGTCAACTTTATGTGTGCAATTTGCGAAGAGCTGCAGGACGTACCTGTTTGGAGAGAGAGAGAGAGAGAGATCACAAGCCTGACCAGAATTAGAATGTGAAAAGGTGTCGTGAACTGTACCTTTTCCACTGACCACCCATCTGCACGAGAACACTACATCTTTTGCTCCGATGTTCTCACCTGATGCGAAATATTCTCACCTGCATCATCTTGCATCTTCTACATACTTCTTTCACGACTATTCTTCCATATGACCGGCGACAGATATTTCATGTATGAACACGAGACTGCTCGGCTTATTCAGCGTGCGTAGGTTTCTTCGTTGAAGATTCGACTTATGCAATATTCGTGCTGTCTATGCTTCTTTTAATTCTTCCACCCTCCAAGTAAAAAAGTAGTCATCTGCTGGTTTCATTCGAGAGCTCCATCTACATTACCGTGTTCACGGTCATCATATATCATGTTAGAATCAAGCGCCGGACAATTAAATAATCTGTTCAGCATAAGCGTTTCAATCATATCTGGACAGTGGACATACTATGCAGGTAACCATAACCTTTGACGTTCATTGTCCAGAGGCAGACATTCTAATCCACTACGTTGCCCTTCCCCATCGTTGGTTTGCATATTTCAAGCTCTGCGTTGGAATGTAGTATGAAAAATATTTGTTTTATTTTACCAAGCTCGATCACGGGTGCCATGCTGGCATGATTAAGCTGCTAAACTTGATAACGATCCCTTCGATTTCATGCAGGGCTGATAGTTGATAGAAACAGGGAGGGAGGAACGAGGGACTCAAGCCTGGACTACACACTGTGCATGTAAGGAGAAGAGGGGAGGAGATGAGTGGAGTGGAGTGGAGTGGAGTTTCACGAATGAAGAATATTTCTTGATCCACATTTATGATCTGCAGCTTTTCATGAATGTTTTTCTACTTCTTGTGAAAGAGTTGTGTGTGTGTGTGTGACTATTCTGTTGACGAGCACGTAATTCATAATGTACAGGTTCCAGACAGGCAAATTTGACAAAACTTCTCTTTTTGCTAGCTATGACAAGAAATTTTATTTAAACGCAATAACTGCTGACTTTTGCTGCCGAGAGAAACATACAAGGCATCAATGAAAACCGATGAAAAGGAAGCGAATGAGTCCAACATGAAGAGAGAGATATACAGAAGTCATCGAGTTGATACTCGAGAGACAGTCCGTCAGTCGGATCACATGCATCCCAATATACTCTTATCGACAAGACAGTGCTGCAAAGATGCAACGTCAGACAAGGATAAAGGGGGAGAGCAGAACGGTTCCAGCCTGCTAGCCTCTTATCATTGTTCTTGAGCCTACTCCGAGGCCTGACATACATTAGGCCGTAGGCATTGGACATCGAGATTATCAACCCACCGGCCGTGTAAAATCTCGTTGATTATCTCGAGGAAGCGAGACCAACAGGTCCATCCATCAGTGCTCTGGGTTTTCTCCGAATGGACTAACCAACTCCCATCTCGAAATTCTCCATCGCATGGCAACTAACCTCCGGTCACGCCGGTGAACTCGAGCAGAAAAGTACGAGGCGAGAACGCGAGCTTGTAAATCATGAAAGGTTTGCCCTTCGAGATTGGACAAGCAGCGCTCAATCATTTCATTTGACTCCGGGGTTAGCATCCGGATTAACCCGGGTTAAGCGAGGAATGCACGGGCCAGGGGGGTGGGAGTAGGAGGACGGATTACTGTAAACGGGACGGCTCCCTCCCATGGAGTGAAGGGGGCTCCTCACGTCAAGAAGGGGATTCATTCAACGGAGATAGAAGGTAACTGTCTCGAAACCCACGTGTCGGCTCCAGGCCGATGCACGGAGTCGAGTAGTCCCGTTCGTAATAACAACTACGGACCGTGCATGGAGAGAGAGAAAAGAAAAGTGTAATGCTCACGCTTCTGGATTAGATTTATCGCTCGATTTTTGCGGAAGGGCCTCGACTTTGTTTGTTTGTTGTGATTCCCGGTGCTGCTGCAACTCGAAACCAACACGGAATCATCAAAAGCATCTCTCTCTCTCTCTCTCTCTCTCTCTCTCTCTCTCTCTCCCCTCCTCCTCCTCCTCCTCCCCCCGTGAGTTCACTTCGACGGAGGAGGATAATGCTGAATAATCACGAGTTGGTGCGTGCACGGCCTTTTTACCGGCGATACTTGCCTCGCTGACTACTCCACGGAGATCAGAAGGAGAGGGAAAGCAGCCGGGTCTAATCCGATCCTCCGCGGGTGGATAGCTGGAATCCGATGAATCGATGGATGGAGGGGAGGGAGTGGAGTGGAGTGGTGGGGTGGGGGTTCGTGAGCCCTCCTCATTCACGTAGCCGCTGTCGTCTGAAGAAGGTGATCCAAAGAAGGAAGATGGTCATCCTCTCGTTTCTCCTTCCTCTCTCTCTCTCTCTCTCTCTCTCTCTATTGCTGCTGCTGCTGCTGATTTTCAGCGATCGCGTGTTGCATGACTTCGTTCCTGGGCATGCAAACTGGAACGGACCGTCAGCAGCCATCAAACTTCGCCGGACCCGTCTGTTCGGCGATGCTTTCTGTATGATGATGATGATGATGGTGATGGTGGACGACTGTGTCGACCACAGAAACCTCATAATCCAGCGCACGGTCTGCTCGTTAGATGCTGCTCTCGGACCTACTCTTTCTGAGCTCAATCGTGCACATCACGAGCTCCCTTCGACCGACATCGAGACCCGCACTGTCTATCATCTCCATCACAATGTCTGAATTTGAAGAAACGAAGTGAGCATGCCACTACTTTCTCTTATGGCGACAACGCACAGCTGATATACGTCGCAGTGAATGAGTTCGAGAGTGTTTAAGAGGAATTACACGCTTCCCGCGAACTACTGACTCGGCATGAGTTCCAAAAATCTATGGAGCGTGTTGTATTGTCGGAGTTGTGATTCGAGTTCCCCCACTGTCGATATAATAAATGACTTTCAGACATAAGAAAAGAGATCGGGTGCTGGTACTTATATCAAGTTCGAATATTGCACTCTCTCCTGCAACGCAACGCGCAGAATTGGATCGATCGGATCTCTCCTAGACTAGCTTGTGGATGCACATGATTAGAGATATATTGACGTGGTGGCACCCAGTAATGCCGAAAATGGATCACCATTGCAATTAATCATGCACACCGTACCGAGCAATATAGGATCGACCAGTACTCGGCAGCTCGACTGAAACCCTTCGTTTGTTCTTGAACGTAAATAACTCAATCAATCAGGATATGATAAATCCGGTGCTGGGCACGTCGACAGTCATCACCTGTGCGAGAATGCACACCACACACAAGAGCAGCAGCGTGGACTTTATTGTATGAATGTTGCGAGTCTGTATTGAGCTCTCAATTTGTGCAGTACGCTCACAACGTCAGCAATATGAACGTGAATATCAGCAGATGGCCTCTTTATGAAAAGTCGGGAATAGCGCGATGGTCCGCCCATCGCAGTCCTCAGCAACTCTGTAGATGACGTGTGGACTGCAACTGGGGGGTCATATTTTGGCAATTGTGATACTTACGTAAGAATTGAATCTCGATATGCGGTCGATTCAAACTCCAGTCGACAGATTTATTCCTCACAGGCACTGCAAACGTGAGTGATGTATCGATGCACTCGGGTGTGAAGGCCTGCTGTCAAACATCAAAGCTCCAATGCCTCATCTGCTACTGCCTAGGCCATTGCATGGTCGGCGTCGGTGGGACAAATTACGATCAGAGTCGTATCATTGCTTCGAGGCACGTGAAGCTTCCTGCTCCAGATTTGAATCGCTGGCAGAGAAAGCTCGCCTGCGAACGAGAAGAGAACGAGCGCTCCAAAATGGAAACCGAAACCTCTACCTCGAGGTTGTGACCGTGGCTGGCTGGCTGGCTGTACGAGAGGTCCTGGGTGATCAGATGAGTGGCAGTCTACGATCTTCTTCTCTCGAGTTTGACAGCGGAATCCGCGATTTGTCGCGCACGAATTCGATCTAGACCGGATCTCCATCGGCCATGACGGTGCGAGAGCATGCTGAGGAGAGACACGTACACCCCGTCCATCCAACGCCACAGGCCAAGCCATGCGCGGCTCTGTCACGAATTGTAAATCTCTTCGAGTCGTCAGCCACACTCTCGTTCATCGGCGACGCGACGTTCGGACTTACGTGGCGCTGGCAGCTGCTGCACGAGAGAACATTCGGTCGCTCCTTTGCTCTCTCATCGCCTGCTCAAGCAGTTCCGAGAACGGGACGTTCCCATTCGGAGCTCGATCGGGAGCGGGCGGTTTGTGGACGCGACGGACCAGGCACTCTCATCGGCAAATGGCGCACCTGAGACCCGGGGGCAATTGCTCTCGGCGCCACAGCGCTTGAAATCTGCAGCGGCAGCGGTGGGCGTCGACACGAGCGGCAATTGGGGCGATCCTACGTGAATTAACAGTGGGCGAGTCCTAGGCGCCCTAAGTGGGACCATGGCTTTCGGAACGACGACGTCGTGTCACCCGATGAGTCCATTGAGTACCGTAAACGACCCTCCCGACTCCATTGAGTGTTCGCTGGCTCCCCCGTACAGCAGCAGCAGCAGCAGTTCCTCGTTTTTCCTGAGGGGTCAGCAGCTTATCCATTGCCTCGGCGTTTCTTGCACTGTAGTGTCCGACAAAATATCTGGATTTTCTCTTACGCTCCGTCTTCGCAGGCCGACATCTCTCGTTTCTTCGGGATGGTTCGCTTGTGCTTCTATCGAGATTCTACGGGTCTTGTGATTTCTTGTAGCCCTCGAGGCGTGCTCGCGTTTCGTTCTCGACATGTGAACGCGATGAAGTTGAGACCGATTTAGGCTTTTTCCAGTGGCGGAGATCGGACGATCATCTCAGCAGATCATAAATTTTTGATCGCGACTCACCGACAGCTTACTTCTTGCAGCTTTTCACCCGCTTCGAGCCGCCAGCACGTGATCAATCAAATGTCCGGAGCCATAGATTGATTCTTTACTTATTTCGTCTTCAATCGATCCGATTACCGGGTGCTTGTCGTCAATTGGGCACAATTACATGCTCCTCACGCTCTCTATTTTGAATGTAGCCCCTTGCATTGACGAGTCGGAATATTACAATCTGCTACAATCGCCATTCTTCTTACAACCTCATTTCTTGAACCTACTCAAAGCCCTTCAGTAGACTCGAACGAGGGAGATTAAAGTGATCTCCGCCACTATAACTTTACTACTGCAGGCTTCACATGTACCGATGAGATGAGTTCGTCTTTCCTTCGCATTGGAGAATAACATCCATATACAGCACGAACATCCCGGAAACCCATAGCCCGCGATGAATGGAACCACAACCTACCCTGGAACACGAATTTATCGACAGAAGCTATCACAACTGACAGAAAGTGCATAGAACCTTGCGGAGAAAATCGACCGATGGATTTCCGCGGTGATCATCAATCGAGAGTCCGGGGAGACCTCCTCCGACACCGTGATATACCGGATCGAGTTCTTTCCTGGGCATGTCTGGAAGAAGCTCGGAATCGGGATTCAAGGAATCAAAGACCACTGCACTCTTCCACAGCTTCTCGCGAAACACGCGACGGAAGGTAGAGAATAAAGGAGCGGATGAAAGGACATCGATTGAAGGACGAGCACTGCAGTCTGAACGTGTGGATGGGTGGCAGGTATTGTCGAGCTCGCTTGCAATCCGACAGCGGACGTCGGCCAAAAGCCTTTTGCTCAAAACTCTCCGAAGACGATAACACTACTTACACTCCTGAACTACGACCCTACAGACGACGACTTGCGCCTCGTCGCCGTCGCGAAACACCGGAGGCCTAGAGCCCATGGACATCGAGCTACATCCTCGTTCTATTTGCAACTCGGCCGGATGCCATGAAACTCGAGCTCTCAGCTGCAATTTCCAAGAATTGGACAAACTGGGAGTCCAAGAAAGGACTGAGCAAGAGTGAAACCAGCGATCGACAAACAAGTTGTGCGTGCGATTACTGCTCCAGAACGGGAGACCAGATAAAGCGCAAGCAGACAGAAAATTTCACGCCACTGCCACAACCACAACGCTACAGCAGCCATATCCACAGAAAACGCGACCGACGGCGGTGAAGGCTGCCATCGGCTCGACACGACATGGACCATTTGCGCATTCAACCATTTTATTATTCTGCGAAGGGCAATATTTACAAACTCGCAACGCTCTTCTCTCTGGGGCGCCTTCACTTGCACGCTTCCAGTCTGAAGCGATACATCCATGCGTCTCCTTCCAAAGCTTTGGATTCTGCCAGGCACATCGTCTCGAGCATTCTGTAATCTACCTATGTAAGTGGTGCTTGCCACCCGAACTAAAGGCTTAATAAACACAACCAGTCCCGTCTGGCGAGCTGATTCTCGTATGGTACAGTCGTCCGACGCCGCGTGCGGCCTCGCCCAAGATCGGTACGGGGAGCTTCTTGCGACGGAACTCATGGTCGTCCCAGGCGTGCGTGCCCATGAGTTCACGGATTGCGCAATTGCGAAGGCTGGACCTGATCCGATCGATTGAGCGAGTGAAGCCTCATACTGACGTCGGAACCTCAAAATTTTCTCGTCAATGTAGTGCGGTTGACGAGGCTAGCAGGTCCGCAAGAGATCTGTAGCGGCGCTTGCGAGCGGGCCTGTCCAGCACCTCGCTTTCCCTTTCTTGCCCGACAATATCTGCAAGGAGCCTGCCAGTGGCCTTCTTCCGTTTTCTCGCGGGCGCATTGGAGTCGCTGGTGACTTCACTGTCAGTGACCAGGGACGAGGTTTCGGTGCCCATATTGTTATGCGAGCCCGACCCAGAGCTGCGGCAGTCGTTACTGGAGGGCGAGACGCCCGATGTGAGCGAGGTGGGGGTGAAGGAGTCTGAGTCCTCCTCGAAGGGATCCCGCAGTCTTTTCATGTACTCGTGTCGAAGCATCTGCTCGGCGTAGGAGTCGCACGCTCGCTGCTGGCTCTGCAAGGAGTTGCTGAGTAATAAAAGATGGCAGGCGGCGACTATGGCATCCTTGTGGTCCATGTCTGCCGCTTCGATCGACGAAGCAGACTCAGAACCTGGAATGTTGGTCCTGGAGCAGTCATCGTCGCCGGGGACTAATTTTGCGAAGCCATGTACAGGCATACTTTTCATCTTTGCATAGGCCATGTGGAAACACGAAACCGGGGGGCATTTCTCTTCCATGGTTGAGTTCAACCACAACCTGCACCAGCAGTGTTTAGATGAATTAAAAGACAGCCACGAGCAGCGTCTAGAGTGTAAGGAGAACGCTCGGGCCTAGGAAGGCATTGTTCATTATTGTCAGCACTTTCCTCAGCTTCTAGCATCAACAATGCATTCCATTCTCAAGCTGCTGGTAAGACTTTGTGCCCGGGCAAGACAACCCTAGCAACAAGTTCACAGCGTCTTCAAAAGGAACACTAGCTTGCTTACGTACTGATTGGGCAAATTTGGGCTCTTCGCCTTGGACGAGTTGGTGCTCGCGAACGGGACAAACTGCTCGAAGAGAGCATGCTTCTCCCCATGTCTAGACTGCACGTTTCCTGTCATAACCGTGCAATCTTTGGTGCTGATCATTGTATGCAGCACGAATACTCGTCTACCACGACTGGTACTGAGCTTCTTCCAAGATTCTCACCACCTCTCCCTCTCCCTCTCCCTCTCTCTATCTCTATCTCTATCTCTATCTCCGCTGCCTCTCCTCTCTCGCGCGCCCGATCACTCAATTGCACTTCCCTGCCTGCCTCGGCGCTTGCTCTCCCCCACGACCACCCCGCGTTCGCGGTGCTCTACCAGGTCTCCCCAGACCTGCAGGCCTGCCTCTTTGACGATTTCCGCAGTCTTCCCTTCCTCCTCTTTCTTCCTTTCTCTCTCGCCTCGCCTCGCCTTGCCTTGCCTTGCTTCCTTCCTCAGGCGCTATCTCTCGCGTCCCTTTCCGGCTGTTACCTGTCTTGTCGCGCAAAATCCTCCCAGAATTTCGATTTACATCTGCACCCACGCAGCGCGTCGTTCGCAGGAACGCGGCACGAAAGCCCAGACCGGCCCTTAAGTAACCACACCAAGCTGCTGCTGATGATGCTGCTGCTGCTGCTGCTCCTGCCCTCGCCTGCGACTCCGGACGGTTGGTTGGTTCATCGCTCGCTTACAGCAAAAGTTACCACCATCGGCACCCGGCCACCCCAGCTCTCCTCAACTCTCGCTCGCTCTCTCTCTCTCTCTCTCTCTCTCTCTTCCTTCCTTCCTGCTCCGTCTTCCGCTCATCCATCACTCACTCATCATCAGTAGTGGGAGTCGACGGGGTGAAGAAGAAGAAGCAGCAAAGCAGCGGCAGCAGCATCGCATCACATCACTCGCAATCCCCGGTTTCTGGATTGGCCTGCCTGCCTGCCTGCCTACCTTCAACGTCCTTTCTCCCCTCCTGCTTCCTCCCGTCGCGGAGCGGAGGATCGCCCCCCCCCCCCACTCCTCCTGCGTCTCGTTTCATTGCTCCATTCCTTCCCCCTCCCCCCTCCGTTTTGTCGTTTTGCTCGCCATCGCGGCCTTGGTTCCGTTCTCGTCGGCCAGATTTTCTTTTTCCTTCTTTTCCCCTTTTTTAAATTATTTTAATTGGGGGCCCTTTTTCTATCTTTAGTCGCGTCGCGGATCCCGAGATCGCATTTTCGATCTGCTGCTGCTGGTGCTGCCCCCGTTCAGCGACACAGGCTCGATCTCCGATTGCGCCTTTCCGATCCGTCCCCCACTTTCCGACGATCCCTTCCTTCCTCCTCCTGCGCTTTGCTTTTGCTGCACCCTCCGCTTTCCGTCGTCGCTGGTCGTCCATGAGTTTAAACCGAGCCCGCTCTCGCTTGTCCGGTCTCTCGCCCCACCGGAGTGGCTCTCTGTCACTCCACTCGCCCTCGCGGTGGCGGTTGGTATGCACAGCGGCACCGGGCCCTGTCCATCTGTCCTCCAACCGTCCGTCCGTCCGTCCATGGCTGCCCTCCTCACCTCCCTGCCTCCCCCTCTCGCCACTTCTGTAACCCTAATGTGCTCACCGTCCGATCCTCCATCTGACGGCCCCTCTCCATTACGAGATTTAAACCATCCACCCGCACCTAGTACCCCCCCCCCCCCCCCCCCCCCGACGGAGAGGGCGGGGCAGGGGGCGGCCATCCGTCTGTCCGTTTGGCGGTCCGCGAGACGGAGCTCACCGCACCGGGATGTTTCTCCCCGGTACAAAGCTCACCGCGTATCGCAGTCGCGGGGTGGACGGCGTCGTCTCGGAACTGCGTCGTGACAGGCGACTTCGTTTCAAGGACCGACGTAGAGTCTGGGGTCGGATGCGGTCCGCACTGAAAAACGGCAATCGCGTCAACCCATCGATCGGAACCCGGTTAGATTACATTACGTCACACTCTAATGACGCGGTTATAATAGCAAGACCAGGTTAGTCTGGGGTGTCGACCAACCTGTAATGCTGTTTAGTGGTATAAATAGTGGCACAGGCTCGATCAATCTTAATTCAGTCCGATCAGAAACAGTGCCACAACAAGACGATGCTACTGTTGTACCTGTATTTCTATAAAAGGGGTGAAACATCAATTTTCTAGAAAGCATCAAATGTGTTCAAAGGTCAACTTGCATACCTGTTCACGGTGACCGTAGGCAGGATTCTTCCTGTGCAAGACAGTAGCACCAGTTGCGGTCCATTCGACGTTTGGGTACGACGAGTTCGTCGATGTGTTCCTCCGTCGAAGTTGGAATTGATCGAAGAATGTTGACTTTACTCCATTCTATTCGAATACCAGGTTCTGCCTTCTCGTAAGACATGCACTGCGGTTTTTGATCGAGTCCGAGCTCTAACATGCGAAACTTCCTCCGGTCAAGACGTTTCCTTGTTTTGTGTTTTATCGACCGTTTTCCTAAATCCGACGTGAGTGATACGATCTGCCAATGTTCTGAGCTTGGATGTCCTTGCAACTTCCTACCCTCCCCTACTCACCGTCTTGTGCACAATTCGATCCGATCAGACACCAAGTTGCCATGGATTTGATACTTGTGGATATACTTAGCCATATTAGCGGATCCAAGTTGTAGACTCATGCCGTGATACACTAGAAGTGCGCATATCATGGTGGGCATGCACGCACACGGAATTCATATATTTGCATCATTTCAAGGATGATTAGATATTCGCATTACAGGTGTGTAACAAATCCTCAGAACATAAGGTCAAATTTGATTCACTCGTTACTTTGTCATGATTACATTTTTTTTATTCACTGTCGACGAGTTCAAACGTTGTTTTAAAAATATATTCATTGCTCTGAGAAAAATTTGATTTGAAGACTGTACGTGTATGATTTAGATAAGTTGATGTATCACCACAATCTCAAATATTTTTACATCATGCTCCATTTGAATACAGACTTAATCACCATTATCCTGATACTATTTTTGATGTTATCGTGGTTAGTGTATCTTCGGATCAATCTGACTCAATATTGAATACAGTTTATAGTACTCCAACTACTTTATGTTTTTGTCGTGGGCACCCCAAGACTTATGTCGTATATGATCCGTTGGCAGGTTCTAATTGGGTCCAAGAGAAACTCCTGGAGCCCGTTGTCACTACATGGGTACCACTAACAGTGAATTGGATCCTGAAATCGGTCCCAGTTTACGTGTCATTGACGATAGAACAGGGTATAGGAGTCCATCCGATCTTCATCTTCCGACGTGCCAGAGGACCAAAAAGCGGAATCCTTGTTCACTCGGTGATCTAATACATATACAAACTTTGGATATATGAAGTTATATAGGTAGTAGACTTACCTCAACATGATTTTATTGATTATTTGAAATTGAGAGGATCAAATCGAGTTTTAATTATTGGTCATTTCATATGACGGCCTTATTTGTTCCGGCTGGTGCTTTTTTCGCTACACTATCTCAAAGCAAGATAATTCAACATGATTGTTGCAAAACGATATTTTCAAACTGAATTTAGCTTTCAACCAATGATAAGATAAAAATTTACATTTTCCGTTTCATAGGTGTCTAACCTATTTTTTAAATATTTCTTCAATGAATATAAAACTACATTTTTTCTCCATTTTTCCAGAAATAAAAATTGATTTTCAAATAAGTGTCATACCAGTGCAAAGATGAATGACCTTCCGAATAACTTGTTCAGAATTTTATACTCTTCCATTTACCTCATATATTTCTTCCCCGTGGTTCACGCTTAGTTCATTTGTTAAAGTATGAAGATGCACCTAAGATTGGCATATAACCTAAATTTATTGATTAATCTCATCGGAACCTTAAATACCTTATTATTGATAACAAGAATTGAAATAGGAAATTGAGAAGCAAACTTGCGCCATTAGTTTCATAACATAAATCCAACAACAGCTGCCACCATGCGCCTCTGAGCTGGGGTTCCCGTGGTCCTTATTGACATCAGCTTTGTTTTCTTCGAGATGGTTCTTTGATTTCATGCGTCATCCTACTCTCTCATGTTCCAACAGAAACTGAAGCCCTGAGAGAGGACTATGCTATGCTATGTAGTGGCTGGCTGCGGCTATGAGGGCTTTTAGTTTGACAGCTACCATCACTCATTGTGGGGAAAGGTGGAACGCTGAACTATGTATCAGAGCTGAATATGCAGTTCAAACTGCTTAGAACTGAAAGACTTAACGATCGAGCTCAGCTGAAAGTGCAGCTCAAAGGGGTCCATGCTATAGAGTAAAAGGTTCCTCTTGATTCTGGTCAGATTGTCTTCCACTCTATAGGCATTGACTGGTAAAACCAGAAGTCGATAAGGAGACAGCGATCTAAGATGTCATGAAGAATTTCACAGAACGTGAATGGTAGAGAATGTGGTGGAGATCGAAGGCCCGTGTGAGCAAGGCAGAAGCCAAATTTCCAAATACTCGCTGACCCGTTCCACACGAACGATAGCTACAGATCCATCTGGCATACTCCCAGCGTACCACGTGTGCGTTCCTTTCAGCGACTTTGGGACGCGACTGCGGAGGCCGGACGGAAGCTTTGCGACTTCTGACGACTGTGCAAGTCACGGACGATATGAAGTCGTCGTAGTCGGTCTCCTCTTTCGCGACCCGTCCCTCTGATGCACTCTGCACCCTTTATCGTGCATGGTTCCTACCTCTATCTACGACTTTCCCGTATGTATCCACACTTTACGATGTACGACATACTGTACCCATACTTGTACTCATTTCATACACCATCGCGACTGGGTTGAAATCGATAAGGCCCCCCCTCCCTCGGAAAAGTCTGGTCTGTAGATAGAATGATCAAACCTAACCCCGAAAAATTCCAACCGGTGGCCATGCTAATATTCGGCTTGAGGTTGGGTTCAAACCCTGCTAGTACTCCAATTTGGCTAGAAAGAAGAGGAACCCAAGTAGCGGGGACAACAATACCAGTAGGACAAATACTTTGGGCATATCATGTCCAGCTTGAAAATCACTATACAAAGTCGGTTTGAGGCTTGAGGTAGGTAGTTACTTCCCTAGTCGCTCTCATGGAAAGAGTGGAATTTAAATGCTACTTTCGAAAAGAGCGATAGTCCTCAGCGCAGCATGAGTTTAGTGCCCCCAAAAGTTATGTCTATGCAATGAGTCTTACTTTAGCATTCAGCAGCTAGCCGGGCAAATATCTTATTACCTAGCCAAATCTGACAAGGTGGACCCGCGGAATATAAAAGGAATATCAGCCCCGGTCGATACAACAGACAAGTATTGTTCATGTGGGTGACCTTTCATGGTCATTTCTGCTCTAGTTTAGACGAATGCTTCCAGTTCTGATGGTTCACAGCATGTCAATTCTATGTCATCACAACAACCAACTTGTGATGCTAGGTTGTGGGATGATAGGCACTACCCTCAATTGCTGTATTTTCCCTTATTAAAATTTTATCTTCCACTACGGAGAACGTTGTTTGGCTGTGTACAAAAAGAAATATAAAGAAACAAGTCCAATTCGCGTTTATGAATTTTTCCAAATACAATAAATTTTCATAGCGTTAGAATTGATATTTGGAGCACTCGATGCATGTAACTATATTTTTATCAACTTTTCAAAAGTTACATCTCCCATATCTTTAAATCAATTACAGTTTTATTTTATGAAGTTTATATACATATTTACATAGAGGAAATATGGTATCGCACGAATGAAATATCTATGCGTGTCGTGACGAAATGCAAATTTGAAACTTCTACAAAAATCAAATTTGTAAACTTTTTTCCTTGCGGACTGAAACAACGTCAA